TATACACACATTATCCTCATCTTAACATTATACCAAATCTCACCACTTCCTCATTCTTCCTTTCTCTCTTTTAGTACTTCATATTTCTCTTGATTGAATTTTTCTTTTCTTCATCTCTCACTTCACTGCCTTTTTGCTTGGTGCACTCTTATGAGCTGTGGCAGCTCGGACCGTTAAGCAGTAAAGCCTGGTCGTATGTCGATTTAGATAGATAGGTGGAGGAAAATTGGAAACCTAGGAGCGCTGGACAGTTATTTCACCCTAGTATGGAACTCCTCAGCATTGCGCATCGATGACTTCACCAGTGAAGAATACCAACTTGAAATCAATAAGTAACCCCCCACAGCGCACCAAACTGAATAGTTCTAGCCCCCTCTGGGGACTCGCTTCGAGGGGAGATTACCGAAGTCCGAATGAGAAGTCGTGACCACTGGAGCTAAACAGTTGTAGTTCCAATCAAACTGCTTAAAACTGGTACAAATAATTAGCATCCCTTCGCTGTATGATATATCCACAAATAGAAATAACCCTGATATGCAGAATACCCCAGTGCATTAAATAAGCTCTTAAACTGATTGCCATTGGTGAATAACACTAATGTAAAACAACCATACAAAAAATTATCTTTTCATTCCAAAGTAAATTGTATCGAACTCTGTATCTAAATCCAAGGAAAGGCGAGAAAAGACTTAATCCACCTATATATTCTGTATGCAGATCTTGAAATTATTGTTTGTTCATTGGACGTAGACTCCAACAGACAGGTACTTCTGAGTTATATAGGTAGCTTTTAACTGAATAAGAAGTTTCCGTGATAAACAGGAGGTAATTATTCAGTGATAAACCGACTGCAAGCCATTTAGTTACCATTTAAAATTGTGCTATCGATAACTATATGTAATTGTTGCTGTAAACAGGACTTCTCGGCATACGCTTAAAATCTTAAGCGCAAAAAATTCTTAAGAAGTATCTGGCACTATTTCCAGTGGAGGTGAAAAATTTTGACAAATAACACGTAAATGGATGGCATAAAGCATCATATTGTGGACAAAGTTCTGCTTCGTCTTTTCCAGTAGTTTGATTCTAAACTTATCCAGAAAAGTGTTCTTCTTATAAGTGATTTGCAGTGATTAGTATTAATAATGTGTAGTGCCACATAAACTATTTACAACTACTATACAGTTTATATCATGATGTACAGATAGTAAAATATTCAAAACGAATAGCTTAAAAGGATTGTCTGTGTGACAGAAGCTTATCAAATATAAATATTTCATTATGAGACAGTAAAATGTTGGTAATTATTCGAAACTAATCAGGAAATTCAGTCACTTCAACGTCATGATACCGAACACAACTTCAAAAAGCTCAAATAAAGCATACGATTCACTAACGCTGAATTAAACCCAAAAAATTCACGGCTTTCTGATAGTTTACCTTGTTCGTTGAATATCTTGTAAAACATTTGTTTTGCTTAGAATTATTTTATTTCTTATAAATATTGTTTTCTTATCAATATCTTCTTGTCAAAACGTTGGCATTTAGATAACTTCACTGACTCTAACTTCGCCAAATACTCTCAGAAAACCCCTAAAGTTTGTCATTTCTGTACAACTGAGTGAAAAGTGAAAGTCAACTAGCAACCATCTGCCTGGATCTAGTGGTTTTGTTTCAAAAAAAGCGGAAGATCCAGTTATTTCACAGTACACAGATTCAAATTAGACAAGTAAGATCGACGTAAGTCATAAAATCTGATTAAAATCTGCCTAATTCACCTAGTACAGACAATGAAATTTCAAGTGTAACTTTGGATGTCAGCAATCCAGTATGCCAGTTTGTACCTTGTCCAGTTTAAAGAGTATACCAGGAGAAGATAATTTTGGTATCATTTTCGCTGACGAAAGTGAAACTAGCCAAACGGATGAAAAGCTACAGCAGCTTGAAATTGGTTCAATTCCGAGGCACATACAAATGTTCCGAAACCAAGATCAATCTCTCCAAAGACATCTTGAGAGTACGTCGGAATGTTTTCAAGATGAATTTACTGATACTTCGAACAAACTACGTGACACTGTAGAATTAGATACAGATCTGTTTCAAATAGGTTAGGTACCATTTTATTATGGTGAAAGCTGCTGAACACTATATGAAACAGGAGCAACTGAATCAACTCATAACGTACGAAAAACTGTATGACTTGCAGATGTAACAACTGACTTTGCACCAGCACATCCAACTCCTATAGAACCTATATTTCCCACTGAAAATTACGTGAGTTACAGTTTATCACAACAAATGTGCGATGGGGCGGACGTTGACAGGGAATGCGTAAAATATGTCCAAGCTGACCAAGACACTAGAAGGTCACAGTTTATTTTCTCAATTTCCTTTTTGACCTGAACTCAACGCTAAACTTCAATATCAATTGTTTGGTGGCACGACCTAATCGACAAAAATCAAAGATGACCAAACACATGAAGCCTTGTTATTCTCTCCATCTCTAGTAACCGCGTCTCGCAGTCATATGGCAGAACTGAGCGAACTGCACCAAACTGAGTATAGTCGGTCCTTTAAAACAATCGCATATCACACCGACGCCATAAATAGCGTAGATTGGTGGAGGTAAAGTTAACCTTTTGAAACCTTGCAGAAATATCATCGGTCACTGACTCAACAACGCTGATCTGACTTCCCAAGTAAGTGAAGTAGTCAACACACCTCTTCACTACCTATTGTCAGAAAGTGCACCAGTGACGACGTGACCTGGAACAGCTATTTATATTTGAGTGGCGAAAAACGTATTCCAAACCGTTAGTCAGTATATCCAGAAGACTCCATATCTTCACTTGAAATGGCTATGTTGTCTGCGTACTCTAGATCTACTAAGCATTCTCCTGTGAGATGATCAATCCCTATGAAGTCAGATAACAACGTGGAAACATCCGTAATTACTTGTATGTCAAAGTCGAATAAGAATGGAGAGAGTGGACCCCATTGACAGACATCACTCGACGCAGACAACCTATCTTATAAATTGCTATAGGATCAAAAACACACACCTATTCGAGTACACAACCTTCAAAAGGGTGATGCACTCTCCAGGAATTCATCCGACTGAAAGACTGTCTCAAGTCCACCCGGTAGATTGAGTTCAATGCTATACTTGACTCAAGTAATACAGTCAGTATCCGGACGGTTGGTGTGCCTGTGTTCCAGTACCTGATAGAGGATGAATCATCGGTCGACATATCAGCCATGAAGTCTGAAACCTAATTGGCTTATCTTGGAATTGTTTTTCCTAAGCTGTACAATATATTTGGTGGTCGTACAGTTTAAATTCTGAGGCAATGTTCGTTAGACCTGCTGAGAACTCAAAGACGGTCAACGAGGGACGCGTAATTTAGAAGCTGGATAGACAATATTATATTGGACAACTTGCTCACCTTACACAGGGAAGAAGACAGTAGTGGAGTGAAGAGAGTTAACTTCAACCAGAAAGTATCAATCGGCGCAACTTTTGCGTTTATGTAAAATGTGAGCATTCTTGGATCACTTACAACACTGAACACCTTTGAGAAACTGAAAGCCTAAAGAGGCAAACTTTGCTTCCTGTTCCCATTACCATGAACCGTGTGCAGACTTGTTTGTTGTCAGAATACAATGATTCCAGGTTTTATTTCTTTCTTTGAAGACTAGAAAAACCGCCAGTCAGAGATAATTTCTGATTTCCATACGCTAGCAAACACTTTATTTAATCTAGCCAATAGTACTCATGCTTCATTTTTAAATACTTCTGGTACTCAGCAAAAGGGGAACTATGTTAATCCTTATTTCAGGTTGCTCATACCCTTCCCAAATTCTGCAAGAGTTGGGAGCCTCATCTCAGTATTCCCAACAGGATCCGATTAGGTGGCGGGCAACTAAAGACTAGTTGGAAATCAGTTGATATATACAACAAAGTGTTATGCTGGTCGTTAGACGCCTCTCCAGTGAGATGATAACATAAATTATAGGCCGTACAAACAAAATACAATGAGAAACCTCATACAAAAATGCATCAGTTCGGATTGTCATACCTTTTAGCAGTAGAGAAAGAGGGGATATCAAAACATTAGGATTGGTTTTTACTGTGCTATGTCATCATTACTGATAGAACAGCCCCTATGAGTTAGCATTTTAAATATCACAGATATTTTATATTACGACTAAGCTTAGTTAAACTGTTTACAATTTCTGGACTGGGTGAATATACGCACTAAACTTCTTGTTCTTACTGTGTGGACGCGAATTCTAGACTCAGGTGGTAAGGATTCGTTGTAACGGCACATGGCTGCATATTTCCGCAGTATTAGAAGTCACAGGTTTAATGGATGAGTACCATGCATTAGCCTTAAACCCTTCTATAACTTATTTCAGTGATTTAAGGTGGAAAATAGATCGACATTTATAACACATTTCCACGGCATCTTAGTTACCACAGCACGCTCACAACTCCGTCATCCTTTTTGGTTAGTAGTATAACGCTCAGCCTCAAAATCACCTACGTGATGATATCGTAACTGGTGACAGGTGCCATGAAAAAGTCCTACAGTCTCCATATGTCTTCTATTTTTAAGATCAATATCCCTCATCCGTACAAATGGACATAGCTGACTGGACGCGGTGTATTCATCTTTTGATATGTTGTCAGACATCTTACAAGCACCTGAGACACCAAAGAGTAAAGATTACCATAAATGCTCTTTGCCTTTTTATAAGAAATGTTACATGAAATTCTGTCTAGTTGTTCCATGTAAATAGTCAATATGGAACTCAAACTGTGATTGATTTTATTAGACAACTAACACCAGATTAATTACTATGCTATCTGATTCAATCTCTATCTACTTCATGACACAGACTGTTGTAATACTACAATAACTTTACCGTATATCTTATATCGGCTATAGTATTTCACATATTCTCATGGATTTACCATTGTAGAGTATGAAAAGAAAGTTACTGGAAACATTTATTCATTGAAATTGTTTTTATCCTAAATAATCAACAAGAATCTATAAATTCATATAAGATATTTGTAGAGTAATGACTTCTCAGATGAAGAAAACTAGATAAAATTACAGTAAAATATAGTAAATGTGAATGAAGAGCTATTGACATCAGGCTGAAAAAACATTTGTAAAAGGAAATATACAGGGAAAATAGAAAGAGGAAAAAATGTATAACTACAATCTTAAAATAAAAACGAACAAAAAGGATAAAACGTATACAACATATCAAAAGTATAAAACATGGAAGAGATATAAACGATGAGGAATTATTATTGTTGTCCAAGTTCAACATTTCCCATTTCTATTTCATCGTCAATATATATATTTTCAGCCTAAAAATTAAATAAAGAAATTAGAAAGATAAGAATACTTACAATGATATAAATGAGTTAAAATATTGGAAAAAAGAAGCATGTTTTAGCGTATAATAAATGTATTATGTTCATAAACAACTGAGTATACAGTTTAATTGACTCCCTCCTTCCTATGTAGTGGGTAATCAAATATTCTTTTCAACATTACAATGATTATGATAAATTGATTGGTTGTGGCTAGCAGAAGAATCCAGGATGCGCGTTTCGTCCCATTTGGGACTCACTGGTCAGCTGGATGTACCTGCACCTGGCTTATTAAAAACTTTCTACCGAGTATATTTCATCAAAATGCTCTCTCCTAACTAATCTTAATCTCAAAATATATATGTTTTCTAAAAGGATCATGTAATCTTGCATATCTGTAAAGTGATTTCAACTTGACATTTTGAAAGTTAACAACATAAACGAAGAAAAGATATCATGGTAGATGGCAATGAATTTCTAAATGCACGAAAACATATCACATTACTATTCATGAAATATCTAATTAGAATTGTAGATTTTTTTAGTGGATTTCTGAACCACCACAATAACAAACTATACATGCTTTCCTGCTCATTAGCTATTTAACACCAAACGAAAACCTAACAACAACCAGTTGCATCATATTATTGCTTGTAATAATGTTATTATTCCTTTTACTGAGATGCTATAATTATTCTGCTTAAGAGTATACTACAGGGAGTGAGTAAAATTGTTCAAATATATACATACTTAGAATTCTATACTGTATCAAACACATTGTCTGGAATAAAGTGACAATTATTATGCCAATTAACTAATTTCCCAGTCATCTTGGTCGTTGAAGGTTCACACCTACACTTCCTCACTTACCTTTTCAACATAGGAAATTTCAACTCTACGCCCGACTTAGATGTCACTTAGGTGGTGACGACACAACACGACCTAATCGACGAAAATCAAAGATGATCAAACACATGAAGCCTTGTTATTCTCTCCATCTCTAGTAACCACGTCTCGCAGTCATATGGCAGAACTGAGCGAACTGCACCAAACTGAGTATAGTCGGTCCTTTAAAGATAATCGCATATCACACCGACGTCATAAATGGCGCAGATTCGTGAAGGCAAAGTTAACATTTTGTATCTGTTGCGAAGTGTGCGTGAACGTCTCACAAATTCAGCACACTTCAATGTTCCGATAGGTTAGGTCTCTCGCTATCAAAGTTTGCTGACCAATTTGACGAAGGAGAATATTGAAAGTTCCAATGGGTTATTTGGAGCGCGGTTACAGGGAATCCAGGATGCTGTTTCGCAGACAAATCATTATCTACAGCTGCAGAGAGAGCTAGCACAAAGTGGAGATGTTGTAGGAATGTTGACTCAGAGACATGAAGTGTTACAGATGGGTAAAGATGTTGAAGGTTGATAATGATCCGGAAGAAGTTGAGTACTGACAGCGTTTTACGGGTAGGTGACACTTCCTGGCTGCCCATAACCATGAAATGTCGCTTCTTCTTGAGGTATCTGAAAGATAAGTTGGATTGGTAATAATGGTGCGTGACCTCAAAGCCCAGGTGACATCCGAATGAGGTCGGTCATATTTGGCTCTTTTCTATGTTTGAGGTTTATGTTTGATTGATTGAAATCTAGCTAGAATACTCACACAACCGGCGACAGAAGCTCGTATGGCACAGAAGAGTGTTATTTCAGAGGCCGATCTTTATTAACTATGCTTCTCATAAAGAAGGCAGCATTAACAAAGTGTTATTGATGATCGCCGAAATACGCTTTGATGCTCCACAACCTAGCCAAGCAGCAGTACGACTTTATCCTAGGATCTTAATCACTGCGTAATAATTTGAACTATAACGGTAACTCCTTTATATTTTACGACTATCCAACAGATCTTTCTAATATAGTAAGGCCTCAAGAGAACACGTGTTCCCAACAGTCTACCTCACCAGGTTATCGTGATTTGCGACCCTGATCACCATATCAAGGTAGCAGCCATCGGTCAACATTTATTCGCCGCTAAAAGTCTACAAGAAAATATCGTGTGACGGTGGATGGAAAGTAGATGAAATATAATCAATTCATTACACCTCACAGATTTTTTATTGCGCATGTGAAGTCTCAAAATTGATGAACGTTGTCGTAAGACCTACGTGAAACATTCAGTATAAACTTGTGTATTCAAATGAAAATATCAGTTAACCTGTTGTACACAACCTGGTCTAGTTGTTCAATGGTTTTAGAATCTCATCTATTCGTTAGTGTAGGTAAATACCACTCAGTAACCAGGTATGTGTTTGTACAGTAAGCAAAAAATTTGCGGTTATTGAACGAGGAGTATCTGACTACGTCAACCTCAATAAGTACAAAAGGATCTCAAATCAATGACTTGGTGGTTGGAAGTTGAGTGAATACACCATCCAGCTATAATTCCATCTATCCCGAAACACCCGAATAACTGCATCACCCGGCATAATACAGTAACCACAATAAAGTTACTGAGCCATACAACAAGAGATGAATTCCAACCAAAACATACAGTGTACAGCCTCTGATCCGGTTTAACGGTAGTTAAATGGATAGTCATACTGAGTCGTAAGCATTAACTTCACTGACCGAAACAGAAGTGGTTGTTCGTATAAAAGACTTAGGTAACTACCTATGCAACCTATCATCTACAAATATCAGTAATTCAGAATGATGGTTTAGTAGCAAGGCTTTTCCAAACCTTTGAACGCATTTCCACAACACCCGTATTTAACCTAGCTAGTACTTGGTTCATCTTCTACGTCATATAAAGATTGAAGACTTTTAAATTTAGTTTAGCTTAGTTTAGTTCGAAATCAGTAACTTACCATTTGCCAGATTTGTAATATATTATCCTCAGAAACAGAACAAATCGTCCATGGATCATTGACATTCCATGAAAAATCCGAAATCTTCGCTGTATGCCCAGCATGTATAAATAGCAATTCAGGTGGCCCATCATCTGCATCTTCATTAGTTTGATCAACACCGATTTTGCTCAAATCCCATACATGAAGACGACGATCAGTACCTGAACTTGCTAGTATAGTTTCGTTATGTGGTGACCATTGTACCTAAATTATATAAACAATAAGCACTTTAAATAACCACAACATTTTAGCCTAAGATATATTCTGGTTGCATCTAGCAAAAACCCAAATAGAATGATAAGACATACTAGCACTGGTTCCTAAGAAAACTTACATCTGAGGATTATTTCAGTGTGTTAAAAGCAGTTCTGTGGAAGTGAAAAACAGCTCATTTTGACTTGATTAGTAATCTTGTTTATTCAAACATTGAATAGCCAATAGAATTCGGTCAACACTTAGAACCAGACAAAATGTAATTGCTTACTCTCCAGAGACCAATCAGTGTAACCTTTCAATCAACATTATCTAGAGAAGATGAATTTTGCAAGCCATTGGACTTGTTGTTATTTTCATTTATTAGTGAAAGTTTACTTTTGTATTCCAAACAGGTTTACCAATCAGATTATGCTAAAAAATCCTTTACTGAATTTTGTTCAATTACCACGCCTGGTATCTAAGTTGAGCATTTTGTGATTTTTTAGCTTACTGGATTCGTTTCTAACTACCTTGCCCCACAAATATTAATCATAGATCGACTTGCTTAGCAGTTTTGATGAAGTGTTATGAACTTTCCCACGATTAGGAAAGTAATTACACAAGGTTATCTAACCGCTAATTTTATGAAGTAAGTAGACAAGTAAATTGCCAAAAGATAGGTTCAGTTATTCACTTACCTGACAACTCAAATTTAAGATGCATAAGATAGAAATGACTGACTGAAAGCGTGAGGGCGGTTGACACTTCCCGGCTGCCCACACTGTGAAAGGTTATTTCTTCTTAGGGTACCTGAAAGACAAAAAGATTTATGTGACCGCAGAGCCCATGGGACATCTGCTTGAGGCCTGTCACACATAGCCTTTTGTAGGTTGTTGTTTTGTCAGACAGAAATCCTGTGCTGTGAATAAAGAATTCACTTTCAGTTGGCTGGACGTGAAGTATCTGGAATATCAATACATCGACTGGTCTTTAAAAATGAAATGAGCTAAAGTCTTAATGGTATACCCTATTCAGGTTTTGTCACTTCAGAAAAAAGCACGTTTGGTTAAGTGAAGGTCGATAATCAGTGCAATTGAATACATGCCATTCAAACTACTTCATAAGCGCCAGTAGTATAATAGGATAGACATGAAATAGCAGCGGTCATCAACATCAATATCGGACCAGGCATTACTGCGCAACGGTTCAAGTTGCCACACCTCATATCAGCACATCAAGCAACAAAGTAATCAGATGAAGGACGAATAAATAAGGAAAAATGGATTAGTACAAGGTAGTAAAAGAGAATGAGAAAATCCTGAATTCAGTATGGTGGTTAAGACCAAGATAAAATCTTTAACCACTGGTTTTTCGTTGTCAAGTGGTAGTGGCAAGAACTATTAGGTACTTCCGATTGTCTTACACAACTTTAAACCAGTGAACTAAAATTATGGCACAACTTGATATAAGTAAACGCAGAGTAACAAAGTATTTTTTGCGAAAAAATAAACAAAGAAACACTTAGTTCGGTATAGTCAGGGAGTAAATCACCTGGAAACAAATAATGAGGATTGGAACTTGTATATCCATTGAATAAATTTCACAAATACGACAGAACAATATGTCATAAACTCTTACTTGAAATATTTCATCCCGATGAGATTCAAAGGAATGTAGCTTCAGTCGAAGATTACGTAGATCCCAAAGAGCGACCGTCTACAGGTTTTAAAGAATAATAAACGAGAGGCTACAAATTTATGTGAGCGACAAATATTGTCCAAGTGCAAAGGAATGATATTCTAAGAGTCAGCGTTCTAAGGGTGCGGACATATTATGCGGTTAATACAACACAACGCTGTATATTCTGAAGTACACCTTGGCTTCGAAGGTGAATAGGTGATTCCTCTAATTCGGTCATTTGATTCGACGTAAGGTGTGACTGAATACCGAGAGCACTTACTGAAGAAATTCAACTGTTTTCAGTAGGTTAATTGAGTATACAACAGACACCGAAAAGATAATCAATCTTGTATCATCAAGAAAATAAGAGACCAGTTTTATGTATATTAGGTCACAGTAGTATTTACCAGCTGTAGAGGAGTACGAACAAGGTATTTTACAGTCAACATATTAAAAGTTCGGTAATTTAAACAGCTACTCTATATACAGAAAATATATGAAACCTTTATCCTTATTGAGGTGCAGACAAAGAACCTAAACATTATTTTCATTTAATGAGATCACCTCACTCAAACACATTTCTTTTCTGAAAACATACCTATTTTCCTATTCCGAACTCTTCTTTTATCTTGTATAACAATATACCATGTAAGAGGAATTTCATATTTTAGTGAATGTTAAACTTTCACTGGAAATCACTGTAGAACACTCCATCTAACATCTAGTAAAATACTTTTCCTCTTTACATGCGTAAAGTTGGAGAGCAGCATGTTTAGATACACCTAGTGCTTTATACGCTTAGTCAGAATTTGCTTTGAGAGTTGGTTATATGTTATGATATGCCGTCAAAGTCTAAACCGATCGGTCGGGACAAATGCATCAGAGAATCTTAATCATATAGTATGAAGTATTATCTGTTGAAATAAAAGCTTCCTACTCACTACAAGCAATTGAAAAAGGCAAGATTTCGTAACCACACAAGTTTATATACTAGATTAAGAGCCTTACGTGCTATGTGGATAATAATGATAACATCTAGAAGTGGTGTTCGAAGCAATGAATTGTTGCTTGAAACAAATGAGCCAGTGTAACGATGTTATATGTAAAAGCAACGAGCCCTTAATAGTAGCTGGAAACTTGCGCTTGCATTCGGTTGGCGATAGTGAACAGTAAAGAACAAGAAATGATGCAGAGCTTGTGATATCGCACATTTAACCTGGAATCTATACAAGTACCGAGTAGAACTCATCGTTAGTAACTTGTCTGCACTGCAACAAGATAATTTTGTCACTCCATAAAACTAATCCGAACTTATCTGACCAGAGTTCCGTTTTCCTAGCACTAGAATTTCACGTATTTCCAACAGATTATACCTCATTTTACCTTCCACGGGATTACACGTAAAAATAGCATAATGAGATGTACAGCTACTACATATTTTTCCTTCTTTGATAAATATCCCCTAACATAAATTGAGCATTAGATTATTACTTATTAATCTTGTTATAAAAAAGAAAAAACATAAAACAGTCAATTACTTTATCTGCACTACCCGTTGCAATAATAAATTCAGAAAACGGATTGAAAGCCAAGCAGTTGACTTCAGCTGTATGAGCATCGACTTGGTGTTGAGGTTTTGTGCGATTGGAACTGCGTGTATCCCAAACCATTAGTTTGTTGTCATCTGCTACAGAACCGAAAATATGACCATGAAACAAATGCCAAGAAACATCTTCAACAACTGAATGGTGTCCTGTAAATATAGCCATGGCGTCTAGATCACAACCATCTAAAGGAGCTGCATTAACATCCCATAAACATATTGTTTGGTCGTCAGATGCCGAAAGAAGATGACCATTAAGTGACACATTCCATGAAAGACCATAGCCCTCTTTTTGATGACCCTAAAATGACAATCAGGAAGAGAAGTAATTCATATACAGAAACGACTTATACCGCAAAATACCAAGAAACTTTATTAGCCTATCACAACAAGAATACGCGATTCTGAATACAACCGTACTTAGTGGTGGCATTAACCAAACAGGTAGATGTTAGTAAAGTGTCAGAATAACGACACATGAAAATATTAAAATTTACAGATATGATGGTTAGGTGACACTGCTGATTTATCCCAGGAACCTAGTATGTTAACATGTGAAAGATCTAAGAAATAAGAGATCCTAGTGTGTGAAACGACTTAAGCAACATTCATCTCTACTAGCACAACTAGTCACAGTTACATTTAACAGCAATTTACGTCCACTGACTAATCTGTGTTGAGTCGTTCACTATGGCACTGATGCATTTTGGAAAAAAACATTTCTGACCACATTAGCCTTAAACTCATCAAATAAAGATGATGTGGATAACGCTCTGGCGTCTGAAGTGATCGGTCCCGGGGTTGTCTTAGTGGGAAAATAGCTCATTGGGAGGCAGGTATATGCAGTCGACGAGTCCTGAATAGGAAGAAGCGCGCATCTTGGTTTCTACTCTCAACCACCATCCATCATCACTATCATCAAAGTTGACATTTCTGTCCAAAATCATACGCTACACCAATAACTAATAAAGGATAGTCACCAGAGCTGTTTTGATTACTGGCCGATGTAACTGGAAAGAAAATATCTAAAATAATCATCTCCATGTTTCTTTGCCTAATAACTAACTAACGATAAATGATTAGCCATGCAGTCAAAATCATATCTGCTAAGGCCGCAAAGTAAACAGCATAAAAAGAATAAGACCAAAAGGACTGCAATTACTGGACATTCCTTCCAATAATAGATAATACAGCGGAATGCGTTTGGAATTCATATGGTCCATATTCTTGTGTATCAACGGAAAGGGCTCTAGTATTTGGATATTTAGAGACAGAAACACAGAGATAGTAAACCTTCCTTAGTTATAAGGATTACAATAACGGGTTGTGATGAAGACAAAACAATGGTGGAAAAACTGGATTATGGACAACTGGATTTTTTAGCAATATGTAGGGATCGGAAGAAACAATAAAAAACAATAACTATCTATAAACATGAAAGTAGCTCCTACCTTGAGACGCAAATCCGGTAGACAACCACGGTCCGATGGAGTTTTTGGTGGATGTCTTGGGTAGTTAAATATTAAAACATCTCCACTTGGTGTTTTGGTAGCTATTATGTCTGGGTTTTGCGGCATAAACCTGGCACGATTGACTTCTCCTTCATGGTTTATTTTCATCGATATTTCCAATTTTCCAGATGGGAAATAAAACCCACCAAACTCACCTCGCTCACTGTCATATGCGCTCGCATCGAACTCTGCCTGGTCATTCGGTAGGTGAACAGTAACTATCAACAGATGATTTTGTTCATCAGAAGTGTGGGTTCCAAGTATCAAACGGTGGACGCAATAATCTCCTCCATTTCTGATAGGCATTATTTTTTTAAAGCTACTTACCTTTCTACAGATGGTAACCACTGAGCAGTTAAACTCGGCCACTCTAAACAGTGTGACATCAACATATCGTATAGGAAAGGAGTATTTCTCTTCCATATTTTATATTCTTCATTAATCACCCTTTCTTCAATAATATCTTCAGAATCCGAAGCATGCAACTATTAAGTGTAATCAATACCATTATTCAATAGCATTACCATGATGTTCGTCACTACTCACTAATCACACAATGGATGGCTGAGTATACTGATTTTACAAGACCTTTAAAAAAAGAAAATCAGTAAACATGAAGTGCTCCTAATCTCAGTTAGGAATACTTACCACCAGCATATCAAAAATATGCCGAGAATTACTCAGTTTTTACACACTTCAGATAAGTAGGTTGTGTTGTCAACAACGATATGATATTAATATGCAACAGTCCAGTTTGCTACACCTCATAAAATCAAATCAGGATGCAAAGAAAAACGATAAAAGGGTGGTGAAATAAAAGTAATGTGATCAAAGGTCGTAGAAAATCACAGAAGAATAAAAACAAAAAGCTTAAGTAAATAAGGAAATATGACATAACAGTTAGAAAGAAACTAAGGTGTGGATGCATTTATCCCACTGAGATCGATTTATGGTCATACTATTGTTTTCAACCCCTTGGTTTCGGCTGTCACCTAGACCTCAACCCAAAAGGTAAACTCTGTCTACACAGTTGAAACAAAGGATCAGGGACTTTATGGACTGATGTCAAATTTTAAGCCAAGCATCCTTAACCTTAATTTTTTAATAAACCTGCTTCAAACAACATTGCACACCGGAGTAGACACTGAAAAGTATGTGCAGCATATATCTCAGGCATATAAATCAAGAAAGTTTCGCAACCTCATAAAGTGACATACGTCTTTCACATATGACACCACGTTTAATCAATGCATTGCCAACGTTGTGGTCACACGAAATAAGACAAGTGCTATGAATGAAATGTTAGTTGAATGCCTGCAGCCCCCTCATGTACCTTATCTTTATTCACAGTGCGAACAGCTGTGAAATAAAAACTTTAATGGCAATATAACCATTACGCAATACCGTAGGTGATACACGTTGGTGATAGTAAACCAAAAGTTTCGCATCTCGACTCCCATTTCCTCGGTCAGCTGCTCACCATGATTGATTCAACTGCTCGAGCAGTTGAAGTGACTAAGGCGTTCCACCACTTCACTCTTTGTAGTCACGGACAGTACTGAAACAGACGAGCCGTGAAGCAAGTATTTGCATTTCGGAGGCGAGGAAAGCCTTTCAACAGTCTCAAACTGTCATTCGATGTTCACAAGATCCTGCATATACCGTTATCGTTTAGCAAAAGTAGCTCTTTTGGTTGCGCTAAGTCAGCTATGAAATCCTTGGTGACGAAAACAATCTTCGTATATCAGACAAGGAAGGCAGAGCGGTCCAAAAGAACGCTCACGATATTAGGCAGAAAGGGAGCAAACGAACAACTAAAAACAAACGCGTCATGAGATGGCTTAATGTAGATTAAGGTGCTACGACAGATGTTCGAGTGTAAAGCCTTTAGTTATGTGATGTACTTCTCAAAAACTCCGTTTACTATGGGACACTAGTGCAAAACATCCCTATCGGTAGAGTTAAATGTCATCTTCAAGTGAGGAAATCCGGTTAGTGTCAGGCCTCTACAAGTATGACTGCAGTTTGAGATCTCACTGAGTAAGAAGGCCCATCTAGTACACCCACTACCAGGTCAAGAAACTGGAAGAAGGAGCATCGATCATATTTTCACCCTTCGACAGGTTGTGGAACATAGTTATACCTACCAGCGGCCGACACTTGCCATACTTCTGGACTTGAAGGAGACATTCGACCTTGTCGATCGTCAGGTGCCATATTAACGTGACTGTGAAGGGAGTATGAAGCAAGTATATAAAGTTAAATTAAGCTCACTACTGGAACTCACACAACCACGTAAGGACTTATGGAGAGTTGTCATCGGGATTGACAACAACTAGTAGTGTCCGCCAGAGAAGTCCACTGTGACCGTTCCTATTTAACTTCGTCAAAGACGTACTCTAATGGACATATGCCTATATACATCTGGTCTCACACAAATTGGCCTACTCCCTAGAAGTCATCTGGTTGACTTGGATTATGCAGACGTTATTGTTCAGTTCAGTGAAGACGCTGACAAAAAGTAGGGTTTTCTAGACACTGAGCGGAAATCTGAGTATGTTTGGCATGCGTTTTCCTGTCACCTGTCAAGTGCAGGATGACGCTCCCTAAACTGGTCTGCAACTGCTCCCAGTTTGATGACAGGGAGTGAAGTGGTGAGACGTGTCGAACACTTTACTTACTTGGGGAGTTGCACCAGCACAGACGAGTTGGTTGCTGACAAAATCTCAGCTGAGATATGGAAGGTCCGTTCGGCATTTGACATCCTGCGTAACTTGTAGCGCCGACTGATGAGATATCAGACAATCTGTCAAAGAACGAGCATACTGAGCCGCTGCGTTCCTCTTTGACCTGTTATACGGCTAAGATGACTGTTAAAAGTGTAAGACTTGAAGAGGTGACAGGGTTTTAATCACAGATATCTTCATTGCTCGCGTATGGTGAGGTCACCGTGTGAGCAATGTTGGGGTCAGGTGAAGGATACTAAGCGAGATAAGCAAGTCGACTTGTGAGGTTGTATACTTTCATCGCCTAACGTGGCTTGGACACGTACTATTCGTACCGAGCCTCCACCTGCCTCGACGTGCAACACTGGAGGAAGTTAAGTTGGAAGACGGTTCAGAGTTCTCAAACCAAGACGTGACACCAGTCCATGAAGTCTCTGACTATTGGTCTGAACTGTATGGAGAGATAGATGTAGACTGCCTGGTTGGGATCATCGAGACAAAAGGAATCAGTGGTTGGGGATTGATTCTTCGTTACATGGCTGAAAATCGTCCACAATGGAACAGATGTATTCACTCCTTGACATCTGAAGCATGAATATTTGAACTAACCTTCATCTTCAGACTTTTTACTCTCTCACACAGCTTTGTATACGTTGATATCAGTCTTTTTCTATCCACCTGTTTTTTATGTATTACTGTGAAGTGTGGCAACTTAAACGGATGCATCCGTGTGCGAGTTTCAATGTTGACTTTGTTAGTGTGTCAGGTCCAGGAACTAACACAGCGAGTTCGTTGTCTCTGAACTTGTTGGACGTTGAAGCAATTTGAAAGCCGGAATCCTGGACGGTATATTCATTAAACTGATCTATATATGATTATCGTCACAGAAGTTTGGTCCGTTCTTGAAGACAATCAGTAATGACAGCTCATTAGAAGGGACCGTACTTGAGTCTCATTGACCAGCTTAACCTTAGTTCGAGTATTTTTGAGCTAGTGTCCCTAAAATGCGCTACTGGTAGCCAACAAGAGCTAATAGAATGTTATCCATGGCCTCTCTAACTTTAGACAGAGTTGGATGTCTACTGGGACTGAGATTGGACAGCTGACGACTGAAGAGTAACTAGAGATTAGTTGAATAGTTTCCCGAAATATTTAGTTCATTATCCCAGCCGCTTACCGAATTAGTGGGTCGCTGAGCCAACCTTTCCTGCTACGGTTTAATTCACCGCTTTGTATTTCATACTTGTATCTTCAAAACGTTTGAACAACGGCCTACCACTGCTTACCACTACTCCCTTCCATATCTATGTAGTTTTCACTACCAACCACTGATGGCAATTATTGTGTAGACTTCAAGTCAACCTGGACTCAAACTGTTTCCGGTTGTCACCGGTCTTACAGGTTGATACTTGAGGCCTACCCTTAAGTTTCCAAAGTTGCATCTGTACTTGCGGGGAATTCTCACCGGCAACAGAAAAATATAATTTAGTGCAAAGTGCACTGTTTTTACGGCTAACCTTTTGTGACATTTTTTCCAGACAGGGGAGGAAGAACTACCAGATTATTGTTCGCTTGAGGGAAAAACATTACTGCTTCACGAATCTTTACAGTCAACAGAACGAGCTATTTTTCCTTTCCTTCTAATAAAAATATAAGAGACTCACTACGAAAGTAGCTGCCTACAGTATAACCATTACTAAACAAAACTTTCACATTATAGGATATTAAGGAATAGCAGCTTAAAGCACAATTGCGTATCTGTTCAAGCTACCAAACTTTAAATGCGAAAATTCGAGATTCCCTGAGCAACCATGTGCACGTTCGTGCAATAGGCAAAGAGTCCCACCTATTGTGAGGGCTAATGATACTGCCTGGATGCCCAAACATCGGTAGGTAGAACCGAGTTCAGACCCGAAAGCCACCGGTTGGAAGTCGAATGCCTAACTCTATGAGTTACAGCTTAGTAATTTCACACGCATGTGATACTTGACAAAGAGGAGTATTCAAAATAAGCATACTTAAATTTACGTATGAACATGTGCTTCAGAATGAACATCAACCGTTTCTAGCACTAATCCATGATGATATGCTATATCGAAGTTCACAGTTGAGTTGAGGTTGGTAAGTAGTCGAAAGAATAATTCCCCGATTTTTGCTGGCTGAAAATATACAATAATCAAAGTGTCATCGTGACAAATAATCACCGTTATCTGCCCTCTCTTCTAAGAATAAAAAAGCATTTAAGTGCGTCTTCACCAAGCTAAACCACTGCGCTTACGCTTTGGAGTCTCCACTTGAAACCGTGTAAAAGAGTTCAGTTTTATATGAAAGGTTGAACAAGTTTCCATTAAACTCTTTTTACCTCGCCCTGGTTAGTCAGTGAACGCATATGGACATACAACAAACATACAGGTATAGTGCCATTTTTCCAACTTCTTGCATTACTTAAATGAACAGTCAACAGATGGCTATCAACTGGGATACAGTTAAGTTCACATGAATGATGACATAAAGGTGAATGTCCCACAAAGCATACATCTATGACCCATGACATATATATATATATATATATATATATATATATATATATATATATATATATATATATATATATATATATACGAAGTAATATTTTTAAGATGGAGTACCGTAAAGTTTGGGACTTGTGTAAGACTCATTACTAAAATCTGCACTGAGTGTAAAAGGCGACCAAAGTATGATTGCATCGACTGCCTCAAAAGCTCATATTCTTAAGAATATGGACACAGGACTTACTTTACATATTAATAGGAATTAAGCCGCATCCGAAAAATCCAACATGGATAAAGTCAGAAACTCATCAAATAAGTTTAATGAGGTTTTCTCGGTTAACATTATTACAGATGACAATTACTTTTATAGTCGATGCATCCAAAATGGCACCTGTTATGGTGGATAGGAATAGGTATACAGACAGATGGAATCAACGAAGCAACTCGCACATGGATGCATCCGTTTAAGTTGCCACACTTCACAGTAATACATAAAAAACAGGTGGATAGAAAAAGACTGATATCAACGTATACAAAGCTGTGTGAGAGAGTAAAAAGTCTGAAGATGAAGGTTAGTTCAAATATTCATGCTTCAGATGTCAAGGAGTGAATACATCTGTTCCATTGTGGACGATTTTCAGCCATGTAACGAAGAATCAATCCCCAACCACTGATTCCTTTTGTCTCGATGATCCCAACCAGGCAGTCTACATCTATCTCTCCATACAGTTCAGACCAATAGTCAGAGACTTCATGGACTGGTGTCACGTCTTGGTTTGAGAACTCTGAACCGTCTTCCAACTTAACTTCCTCCAGTGTTGCACGTCGAGGCAGGTGGAGGCTCGGTACGAATAGTACGTGTCCAAGCCATTTCAGTCGACGGTGTTGAAACTGCTCAATAAACTGAAACTTGGTAAGCAGCTGAATCACGATAATGTACACTCCAGGTTGTTAGTAGATTCAGCTGACATTGTTTATGGATCCCTTACAAATATATCTGATGGTTCTCCGTTTCAGACTCGATTAACTAGGAAAAAGATGTTGAGGTTTGTTCTGCTTTGAAGGATGGTAACAGACAATTAGATGCTAACTACTTCACTCATCAAGATGCTGTTTATCGATTTGAATAAGGGTTTTGAAAGTCAAGTGTTAAATTAACAAGGATACTGGTCCCTTTTGGTCTTGATGCTATGGTCCAAACTTGGACTAGAGCTCTTCTGTTTGATAGGTGGTGTGAGTGAAATACCAAGTGGGAAGATGTGGAGAATGGGGCTCTTTAATAAACAGTTCTGGGTCTCTTTTTCTCCCTACTGTATGCTAACGAATTATCAGAAATGTTCACTTCCTCGGTGCATCTATTTGCTGGTGTAATAACCTCGAAAATCACACAAAAAGGATCAAAATGTGCCTCAAGTGGACTTCAATGATCTACCAAATTGATCCAAACGTTACACCCGGTAAACTAAAAAAGGTGCAATGATAC